GCTCCCCCGGCCGCCTGGCCGCCCATCTGACCCTCTGCAGAGCGGGGCCTGCACCCCAGGACTCGGGCCTGCACCCCAGGGCTGGGCCCTGCGCCGCACCGCGCGGCCTCTGCATGGCCTCCTGGTTCGCGGGAAGCATGGGCTCCGACCCGCTCATGGTCCTGCTGGTCCTCATCCTGCTAGCACGCTTCATTCTCTGGTCCTGCCTTGGCACCTACATTGATTACAAACTGGCCCGGCGGCAGCCCCGCAAACCCAAGGAGGACTAGGGCCCCTGGCGGCCGGCGGACTCTGAGTGTCGCGCACGGGCGGGTCTTCCCCTCCAGGAGGACACTGTCCCTGAGGTGTCCTGTCCTGAGGCTGAGGGTGTGTGGGAGGGTGGGGCAGGACAGGCAAACCACTCCTGTATCCCATCCACATGGCAGAGATGGACTGTGTCCTACCCAGACTGACCAGGGCTGTCCTGGTGACATCCCACGTCCCAAGTCAGGACAGAGGGGCCACCACTGCCTGTCTGTCCACCAGGTTCTGGGGTCTGCTGTTGGAGTGAGTGATCGCGAGGGTGGGTCTTGCTTTAAGACTCTCTCTGCCTCCAATTCTTTATAAATACGTTTGCAGGACAAGGTGGGGATGAGCCAGAGGGCTGGGGGGTAGGAGGGAAGGACAGATGTGGTCACATCACAAGCCAGGCCTGCCACCAGAAGCTGCCCTGTGTCTCAGCTTCCTCTTGTCTCCCCCCCCCCCCCCCCAGGGAGGAATAATAGTTCAGACAACTGCCTTGGTTCTCCCTTAAGCAGACCCCTGGAGGGTCTTAGGACAGACTTGCGACACCTGAGTTCAAGCCCAGCTCTGGTTGACTGTGGGTAAACTCTCTTTCTCCATCTCTAAAATGGGCACAATAATCCCTGCCTCCCTCAGAAGCGTATGAGGAGGGTTGGATGAGGGGTGGGGTGGCAAGCCCCCCATATTCTGCACACCATGGGACGTGTGGAGGCCAATGGAGAAGAGAAGCCAGGAACCCAGGGCCCTTTCTTCCTTTCTGCTTTTAAGTGTGTGGCTGAGACGCTCCTCCGAAGGCTGGCAGGCAGGAAGCTCGACACGAGCCAAGAATCTGGCACTTCCTTGCCGCCCACCTCCCCATCACACCCTGCCTGAGCAGCAGGTGGTAGCTGGGTGCTTCTCATCCTGGCGGCAGATTCTAATCGCCCTGCAGATTTTAGCAAACACGATGGCCAAGTGCCCCCCGCCCCCGACCAAGAAGCAGGGGCAGGGGCAAGATGTCCCCAGTTGCACTGTGCCTTCCCATGGGGACTGGGGACTTCTGTCAGAGCAGAGTCTTAGGGAGCTGATGTCACTGAGCTGGGCGAGCAGACTCAGGAAACCCCGGCCAGGAGCCGCGCCCCCTGGCCTTTCGGCATCCTGGCAGAGGGGCGATGGGCCTGAGCCGGGGATGCGGTGGGACCTGATGAGCTCACCGACACCGTGAAGATCTTGTCTTGCTCCTGAAGGACCTGCTATGCTCGAGACAACCGCAGGGACTGGGGAACTGGTCAGCAGAAGCAGTGACCTTCTGGGGGCGGGACAGACCAACACCAGAGACTTTTGCTGGTGGGGTGTCTTGGAGGATGGTTTAGAGGTGAGGATCTTTTCTTACAGATGACAGTCTGGGAAGTCTGCACAGGGTGGGGTTTCCATGCATGGATTCATCCAGGGCTGAGGCGGGGGGTGGCTGTCCTCTGGGCCATTGTATTGGCCAGTGGCCCAGCAGAACCGACATCCTCACTGTGTCAAGAACCGGATTGCAGGATTAGGGGAGAAGGTGTTCTCATTGTTCTTAAGGAAAATGTCGTCCAGTTCTCTTTAAAATGACCGTGCGTGATTTTACTGATCTCTTTAAGAAGAATCACGGTTGTTACCACGGTCGTATAACAAGGAGGGTGGCCGACCATTCTGGTTGGCCTCGGACTGCCCCAGTTTTAAAACTGAAACTTCCATGTCCTGGGAGACCCCTCCCTCTCGGGCAGAGCGCTCCCCACCCCTGCTCTGATGGAGGAAAAGTCAGTTCACACAGCCTGCTGTTGTGTCTCCAGCCTGCCCGTAAGCCACCTGCCGCCTGCGTGTGCACACGGGTGCGTGGAACGGCACCCCCCCCAACACACGTGAGGTTCACCATTTGGTCCAGTGGGCCAGAATTCTGGGGCTCTCACTGCAACCCTTTCTGTGGGGGTTGTCTGGAGAGAGGACAGGAACAGGAGGCTGCTACCAACACAAGACCCCGGAAGAAGACCAGATTCTGTCAGTGTTATTTGAGCCCCTTTCCACTTACACTAGTCCATATATTTCTTTTTTTCCCCCCCTCTCAAGCCAGTTTGCATTGGTTTCTTTATTCACAACTGACAAATTCTGATGCGTGCAGGTCTCTGCATCCACACACCATCCATCCATCTACAGCCTCACGACGCATGCCTGGCTCAGAACGAGCACTCAAGCCATGGCGTCTGAGTGCATGAGAGGATGTGCCCTGGCCTGATACCAGGCAGCCACTGCATCCGGCTGCAAGTAACAGACAAGTAAACAGTGACTTCAGCAGGAGAAGCTTTTTTTTACCCCTTCGTTTTTCAGATCACCTGAGCTGAAGGCAGATGCCTAATGACTGAGCCACCCAGGGGCACTTACCTGTTTCTTCTAATGTGTTTTAATGTTGCTCCTAGAAAATTTAAAAGTACATATGCAGCTCACATTTTTATATCACACAGCATTGTGCCAGAATTGCATAATGTAGAGAAAGTGCCCTGGTGGGCACATGAACTATGTGTTATAGGAACGCAGAAGGGGGCTTTCAGGAGGACAGTTTGAAATAATAATGTAAGTACTACACACCAGAGCTTATGAGATGCAGCTAAAGCTGTTCTTACCTTAAATACTTATATGAACAAATAAGGGAGAATGAAAATTGATGAATTAAGTATATGGCTCAATAAACTTAAAAAAGAACACCAGAACAAAGCTAAGAAACACAGAAGACAGAGAAATAAAGATAAGAGGAAATTAGTGTAATACCAAAGTGATAGAATTAAATGTCCCCAGGTCCTGGATTTTTTAAAAATAACATTTCTTATGGACTTCCTTCTCCTTTTTTCTTTTTCTTTTAAAACATTGTGTTAAAATACACACAATGTAAAATTTACCATCTTAACCATTTTTTTTTTTTAGAGTGAGAGAGTGAGCACAATTTGGGGGGAAGGGCAAAGGGAGAGGGAGAAAGAGAATCCCAAGCAGACTCCCCACCCAGCATGGAGCCTGACGTGGGGCTTGATCTCATGACCCTGAGATGGCCTGAGCCGAAATCAAGAGTCGGAAGTTTAACTGACTGATTGAGCCACCCAGACACCCCCCATCTTAACCATTTTTAAGTGTATATATAGTTCAGTGGTATTTTTGAGAGAAAAAAACCCCAACAATCAATCACATTCTTATGCGTTAAATTTACCAGTAAAGAGTGAGCTCATGAAACCCTAGGCTCCCACCCTTGACCTGAATAAAAGCAGAACCCCAGAGCCATGTACTCTCTGACTCTCCAGCTGTAACCCAAAGCCTTGCTATGGCCCCAGGTGTGCTGCGTACTTTCCAGGTCTAAACCTTCCTTTTTTCAAAGTTTCCTGATGGTTGCTGCTGAAGAGCATCTTGTAATCACAGTAAGAACTACAGGGGCCAGTCTAACCACAAGCTTGGTTATTGGGAGGCTAAGACCACACATAACACCTCCTTTAAGACAAAAAGGTATAAAGGCCCAGAATACTTCAAAGGAGGACTCCTACCACACCAAATACTCAACACTATTTACACTCCTCTAGCTCATATAAGAAGGAAAGCTCCCAATTCTTTTTATGTAGTAAGCATCTCATTGATACCCAAATCCGCCAAAGATAGCACAGAAAGAAGAAATGCATGCCAATGTCACTTAGAAATGTTGACCCAAAAATTCGAATCACTGAATTAAAGCATTGCATCAGAGGGGTAAAACATCATGACCAAGCGTGGTGGGTTCCAGAAATGCAAGGATGGTTGAATACTAGAAAATCAGATAATATTATTTCCTATAGTAATAGCTCCAAAGAGAAAAATAATTTCTTAGTTTCCTTAGATTTATTTCCAAAGCTATTTGGATAAAATTCACATCCGATCTCAATAAAATGCATCATGAAACAGAAGAAATAGATAATACGTTGCTATGTTTTTAACTTGAAAATGTAATTCTCTCTTAACAGGGAAGGTAGCATCACGACGAGTAGGGTAGTGCCCGCAGCGTCCCCATGGAGGGGAAGGTGCTCACAGCCGCTGGATGGGGTTCTGAGGTGAGGCAGGGCTTGAATGACTGGGAAAGAGGAAGCAAGTACAGAGAGGTAGGGACACTGGGGAAGAGAAGGACAGACTCACGTTAGTCACAGTGAGCTGGATGGTCTCTTGGGAAAAACGGAAGAGCATCCACTGAGAATGATGGCAAATGGTTAACAATTCAGGGAAGTGGGTGGGCCCAGGTCACTATGGAGAAACCACATGCTACAGGCAGTCTATACAGGGGTACATTGGCACAAAGGACCCCATTTATAAGAACAACGTGAAGAACAGAGTACCTGGGAGCAAACTTCATGAGACATGAGTCAGATGCTTGGAAGGTTGAATTGTTCCCTCTCATAGATTTTGGGGTGCACTTGGATGCTGCAGATTTCCTGCAGGTGGGAGACCCAGGGAGTGAGGGGGCTGGTAGGGAAGGAAAGTGGCAGGGGCAGAGGAGGGGGTCACACCTGACCCTCGAAGACAGACCTGACCCTGTCTGTCTCTCACTTCCTACTCTGATGCCCGGTGACCTGCAGGAGGAGCCTGGCGCCCCACTCGGACCTTCAGAGTGCAAACACCGAAGACTCCTCCAGACCAGCCTTCTGGGCCATGCACTCTGGCAAATGTCACTGCAGCCTAGCCAAGACTGCACAGAACAAAGCCACTACCTTTTTTGGGAGGGTGGAGGGTGCTCACGTGTAGGGTGGCTAATTGTCATGGGACTGAGGGGTGTGCTTGGGATTGGGGGTTCCCTGTGACACATCTGTGGTGGCTAAAATCAGGAGCGTCTTGGGCGCACTGGGATGGTTAGTCATCCTAGTTGTATGAAGTTCTGGGTAGTGATGAATTAAACTATCCAAAGAGAGTTCTGATCTTTGCCCTGGGAGGGGATCTTAGGCTCTTGGAATGTTCTGCTTGATCAAAGTGTCCTTGTGTACCTGGGACCCTGGGCCACTTGGGACAGTCTAACAATGGGATTTGTTATAGGGGTTTTGTTTCCACCTGATCTCCAGAGGGGCTGGAGACTGAAGGCTGGATACATCGGTGGTCAACCATGTCTAGGGGGTCCAGCCCAACAAAACTGCACACCAAAGCTCATTTTGGGGGGAAGCTTCCTGGTTGGTGATACTCTGTGTGTGTCACACATCCTCGTGGGGTGGAGCTGACACCGTCCATGACCCCATGAGGAGAGGACAACCAGAAGCTCTGTGCATGCACCCTATCTGGACTCTGCTCCCACGCACCTCTGTCCTTGGCTGATTTTGGTCTGTATCCTCTTGCTGTAATAAACCATGGAGCCTCCGGTGAGTCTGGAGTCCTTCTAAGGAGTAGTGAACCTCAGGGTGGCTTGGGGACTCTTGAACTTGCAATCGGGGTCAGAAGTGAGGGCGGCTTTGGGGATGTTCCTGACTCCTGCACCTTCCTTTCCTGCTCCCCGCCACCCTGAAAACCACAGAACGGGATCCCTGGAAAAGCCGGCCTGCTTCCTGCCTCTCCCCCAGTGACCTAACCCCCGCCGGTAGGCGCAGCCCATGGTGCCAGCTTCTTGTGTCTCATCTGGAGCGGTTCCACGCACTTTCAAGAAAACACATATGCCTTCTCCCATCCCATGTTCCGTCCTGTTCTGTCGCTCCATATCAGCTTTATGTGGAGTTTCTATTTTTTTCTATAATGTGCATGCATTTTTTTTTTGGTAAGAAAGAAGTAAAGAAACAACTAGGTTATACATAGTGAAAAAGCACAGCAAGTTCAAATCCCCAAGGTGAGGGTCCGGAGGGGCTCAGGGAGGGTCTGTGTTTGTGTGTTTAGGGGCAGGAGGCGGGCGGAGGGGTGGCCCCACAGTCTGTGCACTAATTTCATCACTAGAAATGCCCCCCCACCCCTCCCCACAAAGCCATGCAGCGTGGGAACTGGCTCATTCTTCCCGCCCCAGGGACTTGGCACCCGGCTCTTTCCCCCGGAGGAGGGTCATTGAGGAGGACACAGCCAGGCTGGTGCAGGGACACCTGGGCCGCCTCCGTGGCCAGTCTGCATGGGGACAGGATGGGGAGTGGAGACCTCTAGAAACGGCTCACTGGTCCTGACTTCATTCCCCAGAAGGGACGTGCCACAAGCCACCCTCTGCCCAGCCACCCTTCCGGTGTCCCCGGCATCCTGAGACTAGATATTTTGCAGGGGCAGGTGGATGGGGGGCGACTGCCTCACCTCTCAGCTGGACATCGGCCCCAAGTGTGGCAGGACGGCCCGGCCCCCTGGCCCTCTCCCCCAAACCCCGCTTGGCCGGGGAACAGGCACTCAGCCTTGGCGAGCTCCCCCGAGAGCAGCCTGCAGTGTCCCCGTGGTGGAGATGAGTCACCCGTTCTAAAAATAAAAAGACTTAAGTCGTGAAAGAGCGTATTTCCTTTTTAAGCCAGATGTGTCTGCTGAGGGACCCCCAGCAATTTGGTGCGGCAGGGAGGGCCAGAAGCCTCTGCTTCATGGGTCATCGGGACTCTGTCCCCCCCACCCCCAGTTCACCCCCACCCCCTGGTGTTATTACCTATATAGGTTCATTCCTGCCTCCAGCAGCTCCTGGGGAATCAGGGGAAAATGAACTGTGTGTAAATAATACCCACATGGGGCAGGTGGTCCTGGGGGCTATAAGAGAGGGGTCGAGTGCTCAGAGATACACATGGGAGAAGGGCTTTAACTATCTCTCAGGGTCTGCAGAAGGCTTCCTGGAGGAGGTGTCGCCAGAGGTAGGACTTGGGGGGCTCTGATGGGCAGATAGAGGAGGAATGGTGTCCCAGGTAGGAGAAACAGCATGAGCAAGGGCCCTGAGGCTGGAAAGCTCATAGCATGTTGAGGATCCTCAGGAGGACTTCTCAGGCCACCTGGTTACACAGGCAGATTCCTGGGCCCCCAGACCCACTGCCTTTGAATCTCTAAGTGGGGCCCAGGAACAGGACCATCAAGCCACCAGGTAATTCTCTGGCTCTCCAAAGTTTGAGATCCACTAGTCTGGCTGCTGGGTGTATAGAGGAGGGGATGAAGATGTATGATGGCAAGTTGGGTCTAAGTTGTTAGGGCGTTGATGCTCACCTAGGAGTTTGGACTTTATCACCCTGGCAGGAGGGAGCTTTCAAGGGAGGGTCGCTCCTGGACCTGTGCTTGGGAATGTCCCCAAGAGCAGTGAGGGTGATGGACCCACGGAGTGAGGGGTTCTAGGGGTGAGGACCCTGCTCAGAGGGGGCCTGGACCGTAGAAGTGATGTGAGAGAAAGGGTCAGGACTCTGGGAGACAGGAGGGACAGGACTTGGGCCATAGGGGAGAGCCCTGTGATGGTCACCATGGAATTGTGTGCAGAGTGTGAGCAAATGTGGGAGAATTGGGTGCTTGTCATCAGTGGAGGAGGAGCGGGGAAGGGAGAGGAAGAGGGGGAGGGGAGGGAGAGGAGGAAGGGGAGGAAGAGAGGGAGCCAGGGGTCGGTCGTCTGGGTTTGAACGCCACATCCTCTCCTTCTACCCACGTGACCTGGGCACCATGCTTTAACCTCACCAGGGACCAGATTCCTGTCTGCAAGATGGGGACAGGATGGCCGTCTCCCAGGAAGCCCACAGAGCAGAACCCGTGCACAAAGATCCCGTCTGTGCCTGGTTTCGGGGAGGCCCAGAAGCTTCCCTGGGAGCACATGCATTAGTGTGTCGGGTGGGACTTTTCTGGTCGTCCCAAGATTTTGGCTGAAACCACAAAGCTGAGGATGAGAGGTGATGAGAGCCCTGCATTCGTGAGAGGTGTGGCCCTCCCGGTTCTGTCCGATGGAATGGCTAGAACTGTCCCCAGCTCTCACCGCTGTCACCCATCTGCAGCCTGAATGAGACTGGGAAAGGGGCTGGTGCCCGAGGTTGTCACTTAGTGGGCAGCATGGCAGTGCAGGTGAGTCTTCTCTGGCCAATCCAAAGTCAGGAGGGGGGCCCCAGGGAGGGGGGCTCCAGTGAAACTGCTCAGAGACTGGGGTGCCCACAGGGAGCAAGGAGTGACAGGCACTGCAGCGTGGAATGCAGGCCAGGGCTGCTGTGGGCCCCGAATGCGGCAGGAGAGGTCTTGGGAGCTTGGCTGTGATTCCCCGGACCTGGGGGCCATGCGTGGATGTAGTGACTGGTACCCGCTTCTCTCCTTGTGAATTCGGGAGGCTGGGGACTGGCTGGAGCCCCTCCAGGGCAGAATGAAGAGCGAGGGCAGTGGGGCCATCTGCCGGCCTCCGCAGGTATGGGTAAGCCTGGCAGGAGAGACTCCTAATTTTCCCACAGGGTCAAGTCATTGCCCCCTCGGTCCTCTTAGTGTCAGAACCCCCTGAGGCTTAGCTGAGTGCAGGGCCAGCCAGCTGGAGGCCATTTCCTTAGCTCTCCTGTGGCAGGTGTGGCCGTGGGATTGCGTTGTGGTCCACGGGGTGTGGGAGGAAGGGATGCATGCTGCTGTCAGCCACATCCTGGGAAGGGAGGCATTTTCCTGCCCTCGATCCTTCTCCCAGTTGGGCTAGATCACGAGCCAGCAGGGACAAAGGAGAGGATGCTGATGTCATTGGTCATGGGAGAGCAACATACAGGAGGAACCGAGCTCCTCAGACAGCCCCTGGCCTGCCGTGGACCACCCTCAAACTCCAGGCTGCCAGGAAAGAGAGAGATGAACTTCCATCCTGCATGTGCCATTGTACTGGGGCCTCTTTGTTACACTGCTTTGTCCATATCCTAACTGGTCTACCCTTTCAGCAGACCCGTTATGTTCCAGCTTCTCATTAGGGAGATGGCCCCCCACTGCCCTGCCCACAACACAGAGCCAGGAAGTGCCAAGGACACGCCACACCCTCTGTGAGGTCTCAAGGGTGGCCCCTTTCTCTAAATGCTTGCCCCTCTTCCCCACCTCCCTGTAAGCCCCCTGAGGTCAGACTGTGGCCTAACACTGGGGCCTCCAAAGAAACCTTTGCTGCCTGTCAGGAAAGAAACCCTCTTTGGCCTTCAGCTTTGCTCGTCATGTCCTTAGGGGGACATAAAGTGGCAGGAGAGTCAGAGAGAAATGGCCACCCTCTGCCATCCACTTCTCCTGTCACGAGTGATAGCAGGGCAGGTGGGGGTGGGCTGGGCAGAAATACACGCAGGAATGGCTACTATTTGACATGTGTGTGGAGCATCCTCGTGGCTGGTGGATTGTTCTGGAATCTGCTTTTGGCAAAAGCCTTCTGCTTGCAGGAGTGCTCAAACCGAGGTGGGCTGGCTTGTCTATTCCTGGAACTGGTGTGGACTGGGGCAGTTGAGATGTTTCCCTGATGCCCTGAGGTCTTGGGCCTGAGTGAGCCATCTCCCGCTGCTCGGGTGGTCCTGTCGATGGGCAGCTGGGCAGACAGTCCTACCATAGCCAACAGCACGTTCCTCCAGATGCCCGCGGAAGCCATCCTTCCGGGCTGTTTTCAGGCCTCCCAAAGTACCTGGCGAGTGCTCACCACAGCGGTGTGGACAGCTGTCTGATTGTGGTCTGAGCAGCTCCTGAGTATGTATGTGTCAGCCCACTCCTTCCCCGTAGACTGGCCGGGGGCCAGTGGGGAGGGGAAGAGAACCCTCCAGATAGAGTCTGGCCTGGCTGTCCATCATCAGCTCCCAGCACTTTGCAGAAAGAGCATGCTCTGGAAGAGTAACAGATACCTGAAAATAAGAAGTCAGGATGGAGGGAAAATAGGCATTAAATAAGGAAGGTGAATCTAGGGAAAAGGTCGGGGTTTGAAACACATATGCTGCCCATGACATCCTCCAAGGTCGTAACGGCTGAGTTGCAAATTCCTGGTGGCCAAAGCGAGCAGGGAAAGGAAAGTTTTTGCGTTTATATGGTCCTTGGAGGAAACACTCTGCTCCTTAGGGACAATAAATGTGTTCTTAACCCATATTTGTAAAGTAAATTGGTCACGAGGGCCTTCAACTCAAAATTATTGGGAGATACATTAACAACGTTTGTTCTTCCAATCCATGAACATGGGATGTTTTTCCATCTCTTTGTGTCTTTCTCAATTTCTTTCATAAATGCTCTAGAGTTTTCAGAGTACAGGTCCTTTACCTCTTTGGTTAGGTTTATTCCTAGGTATCTTACGGTTTTGGGTGCAATTGTAAATGGGATGGATTCCTTGATTTCTCTTTCTTCTGCCCTATTGTTAGTGTATAGAAATGCAACTGATTTCTGTGCATTGATTTTATATCCTATGACTTTGCTGAATTCCTGTATCAGTTCTAGCAATTTTTTGTTGGAGTCCTTCGGGTTTTCTACATAGAGTGTCATGTCATCTGCAATGAGTGAAAGTTTGACTTCTTCTTTGCCGATCTGAATGCCTTTTATTTTTGCTGTTTGATTGCTGAGGCTAGAACTTCTAGTACTGTGTTGGACAACAGTGGTGAGAGTGGGCATCCCTGTCATGTTCCTGACGTTAGGGGAAATGCTCTCAGTTTTTCCCTGTTGAGGATGATATTCATTGTGGGTCCTTTACGGTATTGAGGTATGGACCCTCTATCCCTACATGGTGGAGAGTTTTATCAAGAAAGGATGCTATATTTTGTCAAATGCTTTTCCTGCATCTATTGAGAGGATCATATGGTTCTTATCCTTTCTTTTATTAATGTGGTGTATCATGTTGAATCACCCCTGCAGCCCAGGAATAAATCCCACTTGGTTGTGGTGAATAATCCTTTTTTTTTTCAGACAAACTAGAATTTATTTTATTTTTTTAAAGATTTTATTTATTTATTTGAGAGGGAGGGAGAGAGAGTGAGAAAGAGAGCCCAAGCGAGCACAGGAGCAGGGGGAGGGGCAGAGGGAGAAGCAGGCTTGCCATTGAGCAGGGATCCCGATGCGAGACTTGATCCTAGGACCCGGAGATCTTGAGCCGAAGGCAGACACTTAACTGACTGAGCCACCCAGGCACCCTGTGAATAATTCTTTTACTGTACCATTGGATCCTATTAGCTAGTATCTTGTTGAGAATTTGTGCATCCATGTTCATCAGGGATATTGGTCTGTAATTCTCCTTTTTAGTGGGGTCTTTGTCTGGTTTTGGGATCAAGGTAATGCTGGCCTCATAGAATGGGTTTGGAAGCTTTCCTCCCATTTCTATTTTTTGGAACAGTTTCAGAAGAGTATGTATTAGTTCTTCTTTAAATGTTTGGTAGAATTCCCCTGGGAAGCCTCCCAGCCCTGGACTCTTGTTTGTTGGGAGAGTTTTGATTACTGATTCAATTTCTTTGCTGGCTATGGGTCTGTTCAGGTTTTCTATTTCTTCCTGGTTCAG